TGGAGTGAGCCTAACGAAACAGACATTTATTACAGAACGCCAGGATTCCTGAAAGCTCTGTGTGTGCGCAAGAGTGCAGGTGCATGTGTGGACTGTGCAGGAGTACAAGTGTGTGTGTGCATGTATGTGCGTGTATGTGTGTGTGCTCGTGTGTACATGTGTGTGCATGTGTATGTGTTTGCGTGTATGTGTGGAAATACAGGTGCTCATGCACATGTGTATGTATGTGTGTTGTACAGGAGTACAGATGCCTGTGCACATATGTGTATGTGTAGGAATGCAGGAGTGTGTGTGTGTGTGTGTGTGTGTGTGTGTGTGTAGCAGGAGTGCAGGTGCCTTTACACATATGTGTGTGTGAAGGAGTGCAGTGCCCATACATATGTGTGTGTATACGTGTGTGGGCATGCAGGGGTCAGAGGCCAATGTGGGATATCTCCCTCAAGTACGTCTTTTCTTTCTTTCTTTCTGACTCAGGCTCTCTCACTGACCTGGAGCTCATGGATTCTGCTAGCCTGGCTCTTCAGCAAATCCCAGAATATTTATGTCTCCACAGCCCCAGTGCTGGGGTTATAGATGTGTACCAGTGCACTTGGCTTTTTCATGAGTGCTCGGGATCCACTTGGGTTCTCAAGCACTTACCCATGGAGCCATCTCCCCACCTCCCCATGAAACCTTTTGCTAGAAATGTCAGTATGCACATGAAGTGTGAAGTTTTCATTTTTGTTTTGGTTTCTTAAAATCTATTTTGGAAGTTATTTAGTACACAAATTCAGTTTCTTGAACATGCACACACATTTTGATCTTTAGGTATAAAATGTAATAGAGTTAGCCTCTCCTCTTTCTGGAACTGTGCGTCAAGTATTAACCCATGGCTGGGACCAAAGGAAGATGCCCTACATTGTTTGCATATCCAGTACTCAAGTAAGGTGATAGACATCAGAGTACTAACAGCACTACCTTCTGTCTGGGGCAGTTTCCTTAGATTATATGTGTTTCTCATAAGATCCTAAAAAATGGCCTTGGGAGGCAGCCACCATCCACATTAGACTACCCAATTTTCCCCGAGGTACAGAACAAACACCCCCACACACTGGACACACTCTAAAGTTCAGGTCTTTTTATAGCAATACAGAGGCGGGCATATTAAATTATTTGGCCACATTTTTGCCAGATTTTGACGATTTGAATTCTGAGTTATAAAGCAACTACAGCCTCCCCCAAGGCCTGGGGCTGGTTGGAAGTTGAGTAAGAATATCCTTATTTGTGTTACCTAAGGCCTCTGCAGACAGATGTCTGGGCAGGTAGGCAGGCAGGGTGGTAGGTGGGCCAGATGGTCTGGTAACAAGCAAAGGTGGGCAGGCAGCAGGGATAGCAAAACTAAGGCCAGGAAGTCCCCTCGGGACTGGAGGTTTGGAGGTTAGGGACCTTGAGTGCTCCTGGATAGCACTCAGACTCCTTCCAGATGTCTGTCCCATCAGATTGAATGTTTTGACATGCTGGGACTGGCAGGCAGGCACCAGACTTTGTCATTTCAGACTTGAAAAAGGAGCAAAGAAGCCTCTATATTTTGTCAAATGGGGCAACAAAATGATTTGCATGTGTAGCAGTGATTTCCTCTAGCAGTTAACTGCAGGGACCATTCTTGTTTGGAAACTATCCCTCAGCTTCCTTTACTTCCCCGTGTGTGTCTGTGTGTGTGTCTGTGTGTCTGTGTGTCTGTGTCTGTGTGTCTGTGTGTGTGTGCGTCTGTGTGCTTGCACGTGTGTGTGGTGTGCTCTGTAGGGTGTGTGTTGAATGTGATGTGTATGTCTGTGTCTGTGTGTTATTTTATTATTCTGGAGGACATTTTTCTACTTCTTTTTTCTATTTAGAATGGAGACCATATTCCACCTCCTTTGAACTGTTTATCTCACAGCTTCAAGGTCTTTAGACTCCATCCCCTGTGGTGAACAGAGTGGTCGCCTTTGATACCCTGGATTTTATCCCCTTCCTCATTTTTATGCAGCATTAACTTTGAGAAGAATGTTCTGAGAGGAAGAAAGGATGTGGCCCTCTTCTTATCATTAGCATTTTAAGGTTTTTTTCTTCCTCCCTAAATCAATCTCAATTAATTTTGATTTCTTGCTTTAGAAAACCATGTGTTGAGATTATACTTTGCCAGATGTGTGAAGGATTCCTTCCCGAACAGAGCATGTCGCGGCCCCATCTTGGTTTGGCTGTTTCAGTGCAGTGTTCCATTGATTTTCCCAATGGCTTTGTTTACAAGAATATCTTACTTTATCTTAAGAATAAAGATTTTAAGTTACTGTCTCTTCTGTTGCTGTTCAAGACCTCGGCTTTTTAATACACAATCTCAGATTTTTCCAGTCCCTTATACGTAATCTGTTTTTGCCAGTTTCTGATATAAATCACACAGTCGTTTGCATGCCTTGTCATCAGAGAGCCAAAGATAACATTACATAGTATGTTATTCCCACCAGGCCTGGCTTGACTCCTCAGGCCCTCGAGGAGCAGGGAGCAGCCGCCAGCCTTGTCTGTTTTGAGTGTGTAAACCCTCTACACTACCACAGAAGGGAAGGTCTGCCCATTTTCACCTTATTTATAAAGCTCAACTTCACTGGGTCTGTGGCACCCACTGAACTTGGATCCCGAGGCTCTGCAATTAGAATCCCTGGTTCATCCATTGGACGGACTGGGAAAGACTCCCCAACATCTCAGATGCCATTGAGACTCTCAGCACCCAGGCTGGGACTTCATGTGTTCTCTGTGTGAGTGTGATTGATTTAAGATGCTCTCCTTTCCCCACTATGAGTCTGCTTCTGGCTTTCTGGATGACATCACCCATGATTTGCTTCTTGAAACTTTAACCATGGTCTTTCCCAAAGTGTCACAGAGTTGTTGTGACTCCAGGGATTCTAGTGAATCCAAGCACAAGCATTAGCCAGGCACAGACACCTGGTCACTGTCATCCCTGCTGAGAACCGTGCAGAGCTCCTCTGATTCTTCCTACACACAGACTCAGGCCCATCAACCAAAGAAGCCTGTGCACGGAGAAAACAGGAAGACACTTGGTCCTGGGTGATGAGACAGAGCAGCGGAATGCATGTGGGGTGCAGGGGCGCTTCTTGAATTTGTGTGATTCTAATACTTCTGGGGAGGGGAGACCATCACTCTCCTGATGGAGAATGGTTTTATTCCCTTAAAGGTTAACTTGCCAAACAAGAAGTGAGAGGTAATTTAAATGCATCTGCCAAACCATGGGAAGAGCGTGGTGGAACCATGGGGCAAGAAGCTGCTGGCGACAGCATGTAGCACGTACCTTCACACACTCTGTCTTACCTTAGCTCATCGAGGTTAGCTCTGCCCTGACATTTCTGGGTCATGAGAGACAAGGTTCCTGTGGTCTTTCCTCTGCCTTCCTGCTGTCTCCAAAGTTCAATTAAAAAAAATCTTCGGCTGGGGAGATGGCTTGGTGGTTCCATAGAAGCCTGAGGAACTGAAATCAGATCTCCAGCATTCAGGTAAAAGGCCAGGCATGGCAGTGTGCGCCTGTAATCCCAGCACTGGGAGGCAGAGACAGGAGGTGCTCACTGACCAGCTAATCTAGTTAACTGGCCTGCTCCAGGTTCAGTGAGATTTCCTGTCTCTAAAAATAAGGTAGAGGGCTGGAGAGATGACTCAATGGTTAAGAGCACTGTCTGCTCTTGCAGAGGACCTAGCTTCAGTTTCCAGCACCCTCATAGTGGCTAACAACTGGCAGTAACTCCAGTTCCAGGAGGTCCAACACCCTCTTCTGACCTCCATGGGCATTGCATGACATGAGTGCACTGACACACATGTTAAAAATAAGGTAGAGAGCAATTGAAGATCTTTGTTGACCTATGGCCTATACACATGCATGCACAGACATCAGTATAACACACACACACAGACACACACACACACACACACACACACACACACACACAGAAACAGAGAATCTGGCCCTATCAACATCTGCCCCTCCTGAGTTCATAGCTATAATGAACAGGCCAAAGGATGGAAAAGACATGAGCTATCACATGGAGGGTTTTTTTTTTCCTGTTCTAGAAACCAAAATTGGATTGTCTCATAATTGTTCTGTGTAGTGGCTGTGGAATATTTCATTCCAGTAGCTGAAATTTCCAAATCAAATTTGCCTTTGCTATTTGGTTGTAGGATATAAACATAGCCATAGGCTAACCACTACAGAAAAATGACCCCACCATGACAACGTTCTATTTTCTTCTCACAAAACAACGCAGAAGGACGAAGTTATTAATATAAAGCAAGGCGGGGCTGGGGGAGAGGCTCTTTGCTGATCCAGATATTTTAAACATCTTGGTAGTTAGACATATCTGGGCAGTTCACAGCTTTTTTATTTATTTTTCGTCCATTTATCATCCAGATGTTCACCATCATAGAAGTGCCGCTTGAACCTCTATGTGGCTAATAACATAGAGTGGAAATGCCGCGTCTTTGTCCAGCTGTCCTTTGCTGTCCTGTCTCCCCTTGCCCTTCTGAAGACATCTTCAAAATCTCCTAGGATGTGGCGGGTTTTGCCAGATACCTAGGTGTCAGCCCTCACGGCTTCTTTTGTGATCATCGTGACCATTCTGTGCCCTGTCTGCTTGAATTATAGATTGCATCTGTCAAATAATGACACATGCAATTGGATGTCTTCTAAGACCTTTGAAATTCAACTTCCTAGCATAGAGATTAAAGTAGGCACTATCTGCAGCCACAGTCCACGCTAGGGTGCTTGAGACCCAAAGCCAAGTGTTTCTAGGCTAGGAAGCTCCAACTTTTATGGAGTGCAGTGAACAAAACAAAGGTTATTTTGTTGTCGTTGTTGTGGAAAGCAGAAGAGCAGCCCCTGAGACTGCATAAAATGTGGCCCCTAAATGTTGCAAATGACTGAAACCTTCTGAGACACAGCTTTCCTTCAAGGGGCCCTGAAACTGTATTTCTTTGGACTCCAGGAGGCGTTATCAGTTGTGAGCGAGGACCAGTCGCTATTTGAGTGTGCCTACGGAACGCCACACCTGGCTAAGACAGAGATGACTGCGTCCTCTTCCGGTGACTATGGCCAGACATCCAAGATGAGCCCTCGGGTCCCTCAGCAGGACTGGCTATCTCAACCCCCAGCCAGGGTTACCATCAAGATGGAATGTAACCCCAGCCAGGTGAATGGGTCCAGGTAAGAGATGCCAGCCTTACCTCCCCTCTTCTCTGCTGAGAAACAGAGAAGTCCTTTTTCAGTGCTCCAAAGATTGTTTCAGAGAGTGAGGCCACTTAATGCTAACATCAGGCACTTCTGAGAAAAATGTGCTCCGCAGTGGTTTGTGCTAAGGATAGAGGTTGTAAAACCAGTAGTATATTTACTAAGAACTCTCTTTGAAGATGCCGTGCTCGATTCTATTTCCCAGGCTTGAGGGCTGGGTAGGAGGGTGGGGGAAGGCTTACTCACATGTGGCATAATTCATTTCTGAGGTTTTATTGCCTGGAAAAGACTGCTCTAATGTTTCTGTGGAGGCAGAGTGTCAGCTAGTGGCCAGGCAGTATAGCATGTGTCCAAGCCACTTGCCTTTGCTCATGGGTCCACCTTCTCTGTGAGCTCAGCCTTACCCTGCTGTCTGCTCCTAATGCATGCTGCTTTGGGCCCAGCTTAGGCTTAACACCATGATCCAATGTCTCCCACAGTTATGCATCTTGAGTTTGTCATGCAATTGTGGCTGTCACTTAAGAATGTTTTATCCAGCGTACAACTGTCCCTGGAAATGCACTGCGCAGAGGTTTGAAAAATTGGATTAGGGTTAGGGAGATGGCTCAGCGGGTAAAGTATTTACCACACAAGCATGAGGACATGAATTTGAATCCCCGGAACCCACAGAAAGCAGGGTATAGTCACACACATCTGTAATCACCATGCTCCTATGATAAGATGGGGGCAGACAGAAAAAGCCCCAGGAGTTCATGGGCCAGCTAGCAACAGCAAACAGCTGGCAACAGCATGGCCTGCCTAAGTAACAGCAAACAACGAAAAAGACCTGCCTCAAACAAGGTAGAGTGCAAGGACCGACATTAGAGCTCATCCTCTGATCTGCTCCACACATACTGAACTGCACTGACACACAGGCATGAACACACACACACACACACACACACACACACACAGAAAAGTAGCATTCATTCCTGTAACAATATTCTACCCCATATATCCAGGGAAATGAATGTAAAGCCTCAGGACAAAGGATAAGTTCTTTTAAATGTTGCATACTCTATGTCTACATAAAGTTCCAAGAACAGTTCCTGTTTTCTGGTGCTTCTCTGCATATAAAGCACCTTTATACCCAGTAGCTCAGTGATCTGCTGATCAGCTGTATGAAGAAGGCCTGTTCCCATTTGATGGACAAGAAAACTGTTGAGCAGACATTGGCTGGCTAGCTCAGAATCACCACTTAAAAAGACTCTAATTTGGATGGAAACCAGGAACGCTGAACTCCCTGGACCAGAACACTTCATCCTCTAGTTCTAAGAGTGCCTCTTTATTACTTGTATGTCTTAATGCTAAATATGTTTAAGTGTCATGTTTCATAAGTGCTGGAAACCATTGCATCAGCCACTAGAGTATTAACACCCACCACAGCGTCTCAGTGGGGCAGTATCAAGGCTGCTGGGTCCATATAGGGAGGTGGGCAGTTCTGGAACTGTCCTGGACCCTGAGAAGGTGGTCATTTCTGTGAATCTGGCCTTTCTCTTGATTGTTGTTGCTGTTGTTTGTTTTTGAGATACAGTCTCAAACCCAGCTGGCCTTGAACTCAGGATCCTCCTGCTTCTGTCTTCCAAGTCCTGGGATCACAGGAGTGTACCACCATGCCCGGCTTCTCTTTTTCTTCAAGGTGGGAATCACATATTGACTATTCCACATATGTCGAATTCCAGGCAGTTTCTTCTTGGGTCTCAGCAAGAAATGTCTTCCTGGCAATCTGAACAAATCTTGGTAGAGGCCGGGCATGGTGGCGCACTCCTTTAATCCTAGCACTTGGGAGGCAGAGGCAGACGGATCTCTGTGAGTTCAAGGCCAGCCTGGTGTACATAGTGAGTTCCAGGACAGCTGGGGCTACAGGGAGACCCTGTCTCAAAAAGACAAAAAAAAAATTTTTTTTTAAAAAAAAAAAAAAAAAAAAAAAAAAAAAAAAAAAAAAAAAAAATCCTGGTAGAAAACTTAGCACTAGGCACTTAGCAGGTACGGGGTGCTGTGAACTAAAGGCATTGGAACTTTCACTTTCCGGTAAATATATTATTGCTGAATCCTAGCCTAGTAAGATGTTTTCACCCAATCATTAGCGACAGGCATCTCTGAGACTTTAAAAGGGGAACACTCAGTGGACTGTCTTCTGGATGGAGTCGTAAGACCCTGAGCCCAGCATCATCACAGATCCTTTCCTGAAGCTCTTCCTTGGAGGCTGATATCTAGCTGCTGAAAATGCACCGCAGTGTGTTGTATGCACGCCCAGCCTGGCCCCATAGAGATGAGTATGGGCATATGCCCACCTACTGTTGGAGACTGAACAGGTGCCCGGGCTATGTGGGCCCTACCACAGGTCTACAGTGGAAGCAGGGGTTGGAGAAGCCCATCAGCCACTACGGGACTCAATACTCGGAAGCTGAGGAGTAGGCTTGGCTCTGCTGTAGGTGACTGATGCTAAGAGGTCTCAGCGTGTGGCTCTGCCACCTCCCTGCGTCCTTTAGGACTTGACTTATCTCCTGGAGCCTTGCCCAGTGGCTTCTCCTGACTGTCGCTGCCCTGAGCTTAGTAGGTTTTCCTGTAGCTCCATGCTTCTTGAAGCCAAGTTCAATGTGGATTTGCCAGCTGTTCTCTGGCTGGGGTGTGTGGACCAGGACTTTTTGGGCCCTACTAGAGAGAAGTGCTGTTCTTACCAGAGCAGCACCTACCTCCACCCCCATGGGACAAGGATTTAGGTAGTGGCCTTCTCTGTCCCTGTCCATCCACCACTGCATAAGAACAGAAAGAGAAGGAAGAGGAGGAGGGGCAGGAAGACAGAGGGACTTCCTGTCAGAATGCCGCCAGAGCTCAGGCCCAACGTGCTTACAAGCTCCTGAGGTAAAATACAAGTTATAGAGCGAGATCTGTTGCCATTCATATGGCTTCGATAACAAAATAATTAAGAAAGGAACTCAGCGGGGTCCTTGTGGGTTTCGCTTGGTATGGCAGGATTCTTGCAGACAGGAAGCTAATTTCAAGTCGTCCTGCAGACACTGGCCATCACTTCTCTGAAGTTTCAGTGTTCTCTGGTGATCCTGTCTCTCCCCTTTCTTCACTCCAGCCCCCCACCCCAGGAAACCCCTGGGGTTCACACAGTGGGAAGCTAGCAGTGTGCAAAACTGAAACCAGCTGTTGACACATTATACAAAGCCCCCCCCACACACACCTGTGCCTGCTTAGCCTCTCCTCCACCTCCAGCTCCATTACAGTGGGGTGTCCAAGGCTCACCAGCCTTTGGCAAGGCAAGCCAAAAATAGTGCTCTCTCAGGCATGGCCACGCCAACTGCTTTGTATGGGCAGGTGGCGGGGTTCTGCCCAGCAGTCTGCTTCCTACCCCCTCACCCCCGTGCACCATGGCAGGTGGCTTGGATAGCGCCTTCACCTGCAACGGGAACTCTTCCTCTTTTTAAAATTTATTTTTCAAGTTTTCATACAAATGCAGATTGTGTGTTGCTCATAGTCCCCCATTACCTCTGACCCTTCCTGGCCCTCCCCAATCCTGTTAGTCTCTTTTTTCAATCTAGAATGTTTTGTGTTTACACATACACATGATTTTGTGTGACGACTTAAACCCAAGAGCTACAAATGAAAGCGTATACCTGTCTTTGTGAAACTAGCTTAATTCAGTTAATATGGTTACTCTTCAGTTATATCCGGTTTCCTCCAAATGACATGATGTTATTCTTTATAACTGAAAACTATCCCACATATGCACATATGTCACATTTCCTTGATGACAATTCTTCATAGCCACTGGAGTGCAATGAAATGGGGTCTTTCTAAAAAACATTATTTGCATTTTTAATGCGTATGAGTGTTTTGCCTCTGGGTATGTAAGTGTACCACGTGCCTGCAATACCCACAGAAATCAGAGAGGGCATCAGGTCCCCTGGAACTGGAGTTACAGATGGTTGTGAGCTGCCATGTGGGTGCTGGGAACTGAGCCTGGGTCCTCTGCACGAGCAGCCAGTGCTCTTAACCACTGAGCCATCTCTCCAGCTCCATGAATTAGGGTCTTGTGCTGAGTGTCCTTCTCCCAGGCCAGTATCCTATGGCACCTGGAGCTATGAACTTTGGATGACAGTTCCCTGGGGCAGTGTTTCTCAAAGTGGGGTCCTGGGCCTAGTACTGAGGAGAGGAAGCTCACACTCCATGCAGATTCCCAGGCTTTGTAATCAGAAGAGGTGTGGTCTGGAGCCAGAAGGCAGCTTTAAGGAAGCCCACAGGGTATTCTAGTACCTGTGGCTGAGAACCTCTACTTTGAGGCACCATTGGAGGAGGTGGACAGTGAGACTAGCCCGAAGCTGGGTGACGGAGGCTGCAGTGAACACAGTGGGTAGAGCACTGTGCCTGGGAGGACTATCCACCTGTATGTGGGAGACAACTCCCTCTGCTCAACCTGACTGAGCCTGAGAGGCATAGCCTGGGCCTTGCCTGTCAATGGTCCCTGGAAAGAAAAGCCATGCAGTGACTTGACTTAGCTTATCAGCCTAGGGCAAGATAGCAAGATGCTTTTGATGTGTTGTTTAAAATTGTATTTATGTATTTATTTATTTATTTATTTATTTATTTATTTATTTATTTGGTTGGCTAGTTAGTTGGTTAGTTAGTTTTTATATAAGGTCTCACGTGTCCCAGGCTAGCCTTAAACCTGCTGTATAGTTGAGGATGACCATGAAATCTTAAGATGACCTTGAACACTTCATCCCCTGCCTCCACCTACGAAGTGCTGTGATTACAGGTGTACACCACCACACCTGATTTATATGGTGCTGGGGATAGAGCCCAGCACCTGTGATTGTTAGACAATCACTATACTAGCAGAGCTACATCCCTAGCTCCTTGAGGTACTGCTTTGAAAGCATGCCCTCTTGTTACTGGATGATCATGCAGAGAGATGGGGCACCCAA